CCCCGACCCCCCCAGCACCCCCCCCCCGGGCCCTCCTCCCCCCTCCGCCCCCCCCTCCCTCAGGGCTCACGGGAAATGGAGTCCGGGGAGCTGAGGGAGAAGCCGGCAAAATGGCAGCGGCCGCGCGCGCGCCCAGCGAGGTCTCGCGAGAGTACAACGCTTCCCCAATGGGCACTCTCGCGAGATCTCTTACCGCCCCCCCCAGCTCCTCCCGCCTTTCCCTTCCCGCCCTCTTTACCCGCCCCCCTCAAATCTCGCGTGATCTCTCATTGAAAAGGCACTGAGATCTCGCGAGTCCTGGCTCCCCCGTCCCTCGCTCCTCCTTCCCGCCCTCCCGCCACGCCAACTGTCGCGAGATCTCCCATTGAGAAGCACGGCGATCTTGCGAGACCTCGCTCCTCCTGTCCTCCTTCACGCTCAAGCTCACACCAAGTCTCGCGAGAGCGCTGCGCGTTTCAATTGGTGCTGCCGTGAGACCTCGGCCCTCCCCTGCCCTCTCTCGCCTTCCCCGCTCGCTGTCCACGCCGCCCTCCCGCCACGCCAAGTCTCGCCAAATGCAAATACTTCCCTATGGGCGCTACCGCGCTATTTTAGCCCCCTCTTTCCTCCCGCCTCCTTCAGGCCTTCCTCCCCCGCCCTCATCCCCCTCCCGCCACACGACGTCTCGCGAGATCATACCGCTTTTCTACGGGCTCGCTCGCGAGATTTCAATGCCCCCACAAACAGGCTTTTTTTTTCTCACGCCCGCCTCCTTCCTTCCCTTCGTGCAAGTCTCGCGAGATTGCCGTGGGTCTCAATAAATTTTCTCGTGAGATTTCCTCCCGCCTTTTCCTCTCTTCCCGCGCTAATTCTCGCGAGATCGCAGCCCGTCCCAGCGAGACCTCTCGAGAAATCTTAATCCTCCCCTTTCCCGCCGTCTCGGCTCGCGAGATCCGCAGCTGCTGTGTGGAAAGTCTCGCGAGATTCTGCTCCCATCCCACTGCCCGCCCATTTTTGTCCCCTCCCGCGCGCTCTCGTGCGATTTGAAGCGATGAAGCCAGGTGTGCATTGCCGCGCTGCTCACGCCCCTTTGTGGGTGTGGCTTAAGCAAAAGAGGCGTGGCCGATCCATTACATCATTGGCTTGCCTGCACTTCCGGTCTCCGCCGGCACTTCCGGCGTGGGGGCCGCCATCTTGGCCCTCCAGCAAGAGGGCCCCGGGCGCCGCCATCTGTGTCCTGTGGGCGCCGCCATCTTGCCCGTGCCATGGAGGATGACGGGATTCGTCCCCTTCCCTTCCTCCCTCTCATTCCCAAAAGTTCCCAAAAAAACTGTTTTTTGGATTTTTGAGCTTTTTTTTATCCAAACGGAGGCAAAACGGAGCAGAAACACAAAAAAAAATTCCCCATTTTCGCCCCAAAATGCGCGTGGGGAAGGGAGGGGACCCAGCGGGGGCAGGGCAAGGTCCCCAAAAGTCACCTGGGGTTCCCCGGGCCTCCCCCACATCCCAGGTGAGCAGAGGTTTGAGCCCAGGTGTGTCCCAGGTGTGTCCCAGGTGTGTCCCAGGTACCCCCAAGGTGACCTCACGAGTTCCCAGGTGTGTCCCAGGTGTACCCCTGCCATACCCAGGTGTGCCCAGGTACCCCTGGCTGTATCCTAGATACCCCCAGATTCGCCCAGGTGTCCCCAGGTGTGTCCCAGGCATGCCCAGGTGTGTCCAGGTGTGCCACAGGTATCCCCAGATACACCTTAGCCATACCCAGGTGCACCCAGGTGTGTCACGGTCTGTCCCAGGTGCAGCCAGGTGTGCCCAGGTGCACCCAGGTGTGCTCAGGTGTGTCACAGGAAGTAGTCGGCCACGGGTTTCTTGGCGGGGATGCCGCGCGTCTCCTGTGGCGCCGCCTCGAAGATGATGAACTCCTTCTGCAGGTGCTCGTCCAGCTCCAAGATGGCCGCCACGTTCCCGCACCTGCCGGGCGTTCGCATGGCATTTGCATCTCATTAAACGCCTCTAGCGGATTTCTAGCACGTGCTTAAACGTGCCGTCCGTAATTAATTCCCACGTAACTCCCAATTAACGACTGCTCGATTAGCGCGTCGTTTGCATACCGGTAGCAGTAATTGGGGGCTGACCAGACGGTGAGCACGGTCTCCCCGAAGTGCCACTTGTAGCCCTCCATGACGAGCTGGTGGGCGCGGCAGATCATGGACACCTCGTTGGCCGCGTTGAACTGCGCCACCACGTCCGAGCCGAACAGGTACCCCGCGCCGCGCGGGGACACGCCCCAGCCGGTGGTGTCTGACACGCGAGACGGGCGACAATGCCGTTTTTGGCCGATTGGGTGAATTTTGGGATAAAACCTCAGGGGTTCTGAGGGTTTTTCCGGGGTTTTGGGTCCGGGTGTGTCCCTCACCTGCCCACACCTGTCCCTCCCCAGCACGGTACCTTCGGGGTCGGACCAGAGCAGGTCGCACATGGGGCCGTCGTGCGGCACCTCCTGCTTGCGGTCGATGGTGCGGATCTGGTCCAGGGTCTGGATGGACGGCGAGAGCCCCCCGTGCACGCAGAAAATCTGGGGACGTTTGGGGACGTCTGGGGACGTTTGGGGCACCGGAGTCCCGCCCCCTCCACCCGCCCTGGCGCCCCCAGGTGCATCTCAGGTGTCCCCAGGTGCGCTCACCTTGCCGTCGATGATGGCCGACAGGCTCAGGTAGTCGAAGATCTCGGTGCAGTAGCGCCACACGGTGACCGAGCCGTACTTGCGCAGGCACTCGTCGTAGAAACCGTACACCTGCGTGATCTGCCGCGACTCGTGGTTACCCCGGATCAGCGTGATCCGGTCCGGGTACCTCACCTGGGCACAGGTAACACACCTGAGTCACACCTGGGCACAGGTAACACACCTGGCTCACACCTGGGCACAGGTAACACACCTGGCTCACACCTGGGCACAGGTAACACACCTGTACCAGGTACAATGCACCTGAGCCACACCTGGACACACCTGGGCAGGTGAGTCGAGCCCAGGGACACACCCACGGGGTCACACATGAGGGGTGTGGCAGCACCAGGCCGTGCCCAGATCTCACCTGTCCCTCACCTGTCTCATCTGAACACACCTGTGCTCACCTGTCTGACACACCTGACACACCTGGCCAGGTGAGCTCACCTTTAGGGCCAGCAGCAGCAGGAAGGTCTCCACACTGTAGAAGCCACGGTCGACGAAATCGCCCATGAACAGGTAATTGGTCTCAGGTACGTCCCCTCCCACCTGGGAACAGGTGAGGGACACGTGAGGGACAGGTGAGACAGGTGAGAGCACTTGGGCACATGTGGAGAACGGGAGTCATTCAGGGGTCACTCAGGGGTCACTCAGGGGTCACTCAGGGTCACTCAGGGTCACTCAGGGTCACTCAGGGGTCATTCAGGGGTCACTCAGGGTCACTCAGGGTCACTCAGGGGTCACTCAGGGTCACTCAGGGTCACTCAGGGGTCACTCAGGGGTCACTCAGGGGTCACTCAGGGTCACTCAGGGGTCACTCAGGGTCACTCAGGGTCACTCAGGGTCACTCAGGGGTCACTCAGGGTCACTCAGGGTCACTCAGGGGTCACTCAGGGGTCACTCAGGGTCACTCAGGGGTCACTCAGGGGTCACTCAGGGTCACTCAGGGGTCACTCAGGGTCAATCAGGGGTCAATCAGGGGTCACTCAGGGGTCACTCAGGGGTCACTGACCCTGAAGAGCTCCTTGAGGTCGTAGAACTGCCCATGGATGTCTCCGCACACCTGGGAAACAGAGCCCCAGAATGTCCCAAAATGCCCCCAAATATCCCCAAACCCCCCTAAACCCCCTCAAATCCCACCCAAACTTCCCAAATTTCCCCCAACTTCCCAAAAAATTCCCTCAAAATGCCCCAAAATTCCCCCAAAGCCCCTCTTGTCCACCTCAAATCCCACCCAAACCCCCAGAATTCCCAAACTTCTCCCCAGAATTGCCAATCCCCGGCCCGGCTCACAGTGACAGGCGAATCCACCCTCTGCACGTTGCTCTCCTCCACCAAAATCTCCCTGAAAAAAAAAACAAAAACAAAAATCCCCCAAACCCCCAATTAATGCCCCAATCAACCCCTCCGGGGGCTCCTGGGGTGTTAATTAGTGTTAATTAGCATTAATTACCGGGCCTTGGCGCACAGGGCCTTGACCTCGCTCTCCTTGATGAGCTCGCAGCGCCGCAGCTGCTCGATCTGCCGGTCCAGGTCGCTCAGCTCCCCCATGGCGGAGCTAATTAAGCCCTAATTAAGCAATTGGGAGCATCATTAATTAGCTCAGCTCCTCCCAGAGGGATAATTAATGAACCTGGGGGTAATTAACCCCAAGTTTTCCATGAAAAGGGGTGGGGAAAAGGGTTTGGAAAAGGTTAAACCCCTCGTGGGTGGGTTAATTAACCCTCTAATTAATTAATTAGGACCCTCGTTAATTGACTAAACTGACTCTGGGGGTAATTAACCCTTGCCAAGGGTGATTAATGAACCTGGGGGTAATTAGTGCAGCCTAAGGCACAGAAATGGGTGCATTAAGGGGTTAAGTCTCCCAAACCGCTTAATTAACCCTTTAATTAATCACTTAGGACCCTCGTTAATTAATTAAACTTCTCCTGGAGGAGTTGGAGGGGTAATTAATGAGCAGTGGGGTAATTAAGACCCAACTTCCCATTAAAAGGGGGTTGAAGCCTCATAGATGCGTTAATTAATTAATCCCTTAATTAATTATATCATTAATAACCGTACGGGACCGCCCAAAATCCATCAGGGACCCCAAATCCTCCAAAAACCCGAAAATCCCAACAAAATCCCTCACAGATCACAAAATCCCGTCACAAATCACAAAATTCCAACAAAAATCACAAAATCCCCCCAAAATCCGAGCCTGGATAACCCAAAATCCCCCAATTCCCCCCCAAATTTCCCCCAAATCCCCTCAGAGACCCCTCAAATCCCCTCAGAGACCCCTCAAATCCCCTCAGAGACCCCACAAATCCCCTCAGAGACCCCACAAATCCCCTCAGAGACCCCACAAATCCCCTCAGAACTCCCTCAAATCCCCTCAGAGACCCCTCAAATCCCCTCAGAGACCCCACAAATCCCCTCAGAACTCCCCCAAATCCCCTCAGAACTCCCCCAAATCCCCTCAGAGACCCCACAAATCCCCTCAGAACTCCCCCAAATCCCCCCAAATCCCCCCGGACCCCACAAATCCCTCACAGAATCCCCTAAACCCCCCAAAATGCCCCAAAACCCAACCGCGGAGCCCCCAAACCCCTCCGAGCCGACCCAGGACCCCCCAGGATCCCCCAAACCCACCCCAACCCCTCCGAGAGCCACCGGATCCCTCACGGAATCTTTCAGAACGCCAAAAAAAACCCAAAAAAGCCCAAAAAAGCCCCCAAATGCCCCAAAAAGCCGCAGAAGCGGCCCGGACCCACCGCCGGACCCGCCGCCGCCGCCGCCGCGCGTCACTTCCGCCCACGCCCACACGGAAGCGCAGAACCGGAAGTGGCCGGGGAAGGTGGAGCCAAAATGGCGCCCGGGCGGCGCCAGAAGCGTCCCGGGAGAGGCGCGTTGAGAAATGGAGCGCGAAAAAACTCCCCAAAATTGAGCGGAAAGGGACCCAAAACCACCCGAAATCCTAAAATCCCTGCGGAAGGGGAGTCCGAAATACCCGGAACGGCCAAAACTGGGAGAATAAAGTCCCGGGGAAGGCGTGGCTGGAAATGGGGCGTGAAAAAAGTTCCGAAAATCAACGCCGGCACCCAAAATAGAGGAAAAAGAGGCCCAGAATGACCCGAAATCCCAGAATTTGTGGGCAAAGCGATGGGGATACGTCCAGAATGGGGACACGGTCGGGACGGGGATTTCTGTGGGAGAATTCTGTGGGATTTCTGCAGGATTTCTAAGAGAGATTTGTGGGGGATTTCTGTGGGAGATTTCTGTGGGTCAGTGGTCACTGTGGTCACTCTGGTCAGTGGTCACTGTGGTCACTCTGGTCACTCTGGTCAGTGGTCACTGTGGTCACTCTGGTCACTCTGGTCAGTGGTCACTGTGGTCACTCTGGTCACTCTGGTCAGTGGTCACTGTGGTCACTCTGGTCACTCTGGTCAGTGGTCACTGTGGTCACTCTGGTCACTCTGGTCAGTGGTCACTGTGGTCACTCTGGTCACTCTGGTCAGTGGTCACTGTGGTCACTCTGGTCACTCTGGTCAGTGGTCACTGTGGTCCCTGTGGTCACTCTGGTCAGCGTGCTCAGCCTCCCCTCCGGGCAGCGCTGACTGAAGCGGAGGCCACAGCCAAAGCCACGCTGGGGGAATTCAGGTTGGAATTCGGGAAACTCGGGAAAATCAGGGAATGACAAATCCTGTGGGATATTCGGGATGTGTCAATCACTGGGATACTCGGGATGTGTCAATCCCTGTGGGATATTCGGGATATGTCAATCACTGGGATACTCGGGATGTGTCAATCCCTGTGGGATATTCGGGATATGTCAATCACTGGGATACTCGGGATGTGTCAATCCCTGTGGGATATTCGGGATATGTCAATCACTGGGATACTCGGGATGTGTCAATCCCTGTGGGATATTCGGGATATGTCAATCACTGGGATACTCGGGATGTGTCAATCCCTGTGGGATATTCGGGATATGTCAATCACTGGGATACTCGGGATGTGTCAATCCCTGTGGGATATTCGGGATATGTCAATCACTGGGATACTCGGGATGTGTCAATCCCTGTGGGATATTCGGGATATGTCAATCACTGGGATACTCGGGATGTGTCAATCCCTGTGGGATATTCGGGATATGTCAATCACTGGGATACTCGGGATGTGTCAATCCCTGTGGGATATTCGGGATATGTCAATCACTGGGATACTCGGGATGTGTCAATCCCTGTGGGATATTCGGGATATGTCAATCACTGGGATACTCGGGATGTGTCAATCCCTGTGGGATATTCGGGATATGTCAATCACTGGGATACTCGGGATGTGTCAATCCCTGTGGGATATTCGGGATATGTCAATCACTGGGATACTCGGGATGTGTCAATCCCTGTGGGATATTCGGGATATGTCAATCACTGGGATACTCGGGATGTGTCAATCCCTGTGGGATATTCGGGATATGTCAATCACTGGGATACTCGGGATGTGTCAATCCCTGTGGGATATTCGGGATATGTCAATCACTGGGATACTCGGGATGTGTCAATCCCTGTGGGATATTCGGGATATGTCAATCACTGGGATACTCGGGATGTGTCAATCCCTGTGGGATATTCGGGATATGTCAATCACTGGGATACTCGGGATGTGTCAATCCCTGTGGGATATTCGGGATATGTCAATCACTGGGATACTCGGGATGTGTCAATCCCTGTGGGATATTCGGGATATGTCAATCACTGGGATACTCGGGATGTGTCAATCCCTGTGGGATATTCGGGATATGTCAATCACTGGGATACTCGGGATGTGTCAATCCCTGTGGGATATTCGGGATATGTCAATCACTGGGATACTCGGGATGTGTCAATCCCTGTGGGATATTCGGGATATGTCAATCACTGGGATACTCGGGATGTGTCAATCCCTGTGGGATATTCGGGATATGTCAATCACTGGGATACTCGGGATGTGTCAATCCCTGTGGGATATTCGGGATATGTCAATCACTGGGATACTCGGGATGTGTCAATCCCTGTGGGATATTCGGGATATGTCAATCACTGGGATACTCGGGATGTGTCAATCCCTGTGGGATATTCGGGATATGTCAATCACTGGGATACTCGGGATGTGTCAATCCCTGTGGGATATTCGGGATATGTCAATCACTGGGATACTCGGGATGTGTCAATCCCTGTGGGATATTCGGGATATGTCAATCACTGGGATACTCGGGATGTGTCAATCCCTGTGGGATATTCGGGATATGTCAATCACTGGGATACTCGGGATGTGTCAATCCCTGTGGGATATTCGGGATATGTCAATCACTGGGATACTCGGGATGTGTCAATCCCTGTGGGATATTCGGGATATGTCAATCACTGGGATACTCGGGATGTGTCAATCCCTGTGGGATATTCGGGATATGTCAATCACTGGGATACTCGGGATGTGTCAATCCCTGTGGGATATTCGGGATATGTCAATCACTGGGATACTCGGGATGTGTCAATCCCTGTGGGATATTCGGGATATGTCAATCACTGGGATACTCGGGATGTGTCAATCCCTGTGGGATATTCGGGATATGTCAATCACTGGGATACTCGGGATGTGTCAATCCCTGTGGGATATTCGGGATATGTCAATCACTGGGATACTCGGGATGTGTCAATCCCTGTGGGATATTCGGGATATGTCAATCACTGGGATACTCGGGATGTGTCAATCCCTGTGGGATATTCGGGATATGTCAATCACTGGGATACTCGGGATGTGTCAATCCCTGTGGGATATTCGGGATATGTCAATCACTGGGATACTCGGGATGTGTCAATCCCTGTGGGATATTCGGGATATGTCAATCACTGGGATACTCGGGATGTGTCAATCCCTGTGGGATATTCGGGATATGTCAATCACTGGGATACTCGGGATGTGTCAATCCCTGTGGGATATTCGGGATATGTCAATCACTGGGATACTCGGGATGTGTCAATCCCTGTGGGATATTCGGGATATGTCAATCACTGGGATACTCGGGATGTGTCAATCCCTGTGGGATATTCGGGATGTGTCAATCACTGGGATATTCGGGATGCAGCTCTCAGCGCCGCGGGGCAGCCGTGGTGTCAGGGCCAGGCTGGACTCCGTGGTCTCAGAGATCTCTTCCCACCCTGATGGTTCTGGGATTCCGGGATTGATTCTGGATTTCTGGGATTCTGTGTTTTGGGACTCTGTGATTCTCTGATTTTGGGATTGATTCTGGGATTCTGGGATTGATTCCATGATTCTGGGAAATTTGGGACTAAAACATCCCAAACCCCACCCCAAACCCCCCAAATTTCGGTTCCAAAAATCCCCCCGAAAAAAATCCCAGCGAAGCCTTGTGAGTTCACCTGTGACCTTTTACTGCAGGGCTGGGGCAGGGGGCACTGGGGGCACTGGGCGGTCACTGGGGTCACTGGGGTCACTGGGGTCACTGGGGTCACTGGGCAGCAGGCCGTGGTCAGTGGTCAGTAGGCGTGGTTGGACACGAACAGGGACTCGCTGGCGGCCGCTCCCGCTGTGCCACTCGGGGTGTACTTGCCCTGGCACGCCAGGGAGTTGGCCTGGGGACATTGGGGACATTCAGGGCATGTTGGGGACAGTGGGGACGCTGGTGTCCCCAAGGTCCCCAGCAACCTGCCAGGCCCCACCTGGGTCCCCCTGTCCCTGTTCCCAATGCCCTCACGTGTCACCCCAACCCTTCTCCTGCCAGCCCCACTGCCCACCCCCCTGTCCCCGGGGTGTCCCCAGGGTGTCCCCA